AAATCTTGCGGAAAATCCAGTTCTTACGCCTGATCAAGCCACAGCTACTCAGGGATCGAAAGGAATGACGTTTCTTAGTTTGTTCACGCATTAAACCATTAGAACATGAAAGAAAAACAAAAATCAGAGAGGGGAGGGCGTGTATTCATAGAGCAGTGGAAATATTTAACATATTGTCCCCGCATAGTCCAGTACCACATGTGCATCCGTGTGCAGTTTCGTGGGTAAAATTGTTGTGATATGTCATTCTCTTCTTTAGGATGTCTAGAATCAGAATTTCGATGGTGTCAAGTTCAAAAATTGAACCGACGCCCAGAATTCAAGATGGCGTCCAAGATGGCCGCCGCCATGGTGAAAGTTTTAAATTTTGCGGATAGCGTCGAGTCAGATGTCGATTCCTAGCATCCCTGCGGGGGGCCTTCAAGGTAGAGGGAGGCAAATTTTTCCTTGCATATCGATATCAAATTTTGCTTTTAAAGAGAAAAAAGTCTTTGGGTCGATGTGTCACCACATCAAGACGGCTTGGCAAAGAAACATACTGCAATATACTATTTGTAGTAGATTGCTGTAAGATTTTAAAAATTTACTAAAATCGCCCTCTGAGTTGCTCACGAGCAAACTGTTACCGGTAAGTTGGATTCATTTATAAGCAAAATTTAACCTCGGAAGAACACCAATGATTTTCTTATCACGAGCAAACTGTTACCGGTAAGTTGCATTCATTTATAAGCAAAATTTAACCTCGGAAGAACACCAATGATTTTCTTATCACGAGCAAACTGTTACCGGTAAGTTAGATTCATTTATAAGCAAAAATTTAACCTCGAAAGAACACCAATGATTTTCTTATCACGAGCAAACTGTTACCGGTAAGTTGGATTCATTTATAAGCAAAATTTAACCTCGGAAGAACACCAATGATTTTGAGGTGTGCAGCACTACTTTTTCAATCGGATCAAATCCTCCGTTTAATATGAAATGCCTTTAAACAAAACTTCGAAGTAAAGATACATTTCAAAGCAGCTCTAGGTGTGTTTCGCATCTTAAGAATGTCAATATATTTGTCCTTTGTATCATTTTGTATTTTGAATTTTCAAATGTCGGCTATGTTGGTCCACTTGGTATGTTGTTTCTCACCCGTTCAAACTAGTTCGCCTTCAATATATTGATAGGCAATTTCAGCGGCTTGGGAGCAGTAATAGTTGCTCGCAGCTTTTTGGTCACGTTCACTCGGTTTGTTCGTTGCTGTAGCGGTTTAACACTGAAACTTAACTCCCTCTATTTCTCACTTGCTGAGACCAGTTCGCCTTCAATAACGCGATAAGCAACTTGAGCGGCATGGGAGCATTCGGCCACGTTCACTCGGTTTAATCATAGCTGTGCTACCATGCTAAGGAAAAACGCCGTATGAACACTGAAATGTTACCCACTTTACTGTCAGAAAATACCAATTTTCGGAGGTAGTTATGAATATTTTTCATTGAAATTTTCAGACACTTCAGATCAAATTACGAACAAAATTACCTAATATCTTGAAAATAAAAGTACACCAATCAGGGGCGGATTGGCTGGGAGGGTTAGGAAGTGATCGCCTCCGATGAATCTGTTCCAAGCATGTTCTAATGCATAATATGGATTGCATTTTGCAAAAAGGAACCACTAGCATTGCAATGTTGCTAAGATTGTGCAACTTCTTTTGTCTTGGAGGAAAATCCCGATTATCCATTAATAGTTTCTATTTCACTGGCTAAAAACTGTAAATTTAAGACAAAAATTACCATCTAAATTTCATAGTTTTTCACGATTTCCGCAATTTTATTGTAAAAGATGAAGTTGCACAATCTTAGTATCACTGCAATGCTAGTGGTTCCTTTTTGCAAAATGCAATCCATATGTTCCAAGCAACTTTTGTTCTCTCCGTCGTCTTGGGGTATTTAGACAAATCATCGAGGGCAACTTTATCAGAATAAGTGTTGAATATTCTAGGAAAGGGGTGGCATCAGTCCGATAATGCTATACTTGCTATGCCAATGAAAAAAACATGGCAAAACTGCTGCAAGCAACTATTTCTGCTCCCAAGCCGCTCAAGTTGCTTATCGAGATATTGTAGGCGAAATGGTCTCTGCGGGCGCGAGAAACTATGGGAGGGAGATACGGAATCGCCACGCTACCATGATAAAGAAGGACGCAGTATGAGCCCGCAGACGTTGCTAAACTTCCTTTGACAAAGCACGAATTTCCGGAGAATTTTGAGAGTAGTTTTCTTCCAAATTTTTAGGTAATTTTGTTCGTAATTTGACCTAAAGTGTCTGAAAATTTCAATGAAAAATATTCATAACTACCTCCAAAAATTGGTATTTTCTAAGAGTAAACGTTTTTCCTTAGCACAGCAGCACAGCTATGAACAAACCGAGTGAACGTGGCCGAATGCGCTCATGCCGCTTAAGTTGCCTATCGCGTTATTGAAGGCGAACTGATCTCAGCAAGTGAGAGATAATAGAGGGAGTTAAGTTTAAGTATCAAACCGCTACAGCAACGAACAAACCGAGACCGAAAAGCTGCGAGCAACAATTACTGCTCCCAAGCTGCTTAAATTGCCTGTCAAGATATTAAAGGCGAACTGGTTTGAACGGGTGAGAAATAGAAGAGAAATAGAGGTCGTCTACAAAATCTCATTTTCTTCAGCTTAATTTAGAACATACATGACTCGCTGATTAGTATTTTGTTTGTATGGACATGGGCAGTATGAGAGGGACTTTTAAGAAGACTTTAACGCAAAGCTAGAAACATAGATGTCACTTTTAAACTCTTATTCTTTTGGCTGATTCTAGTTCATTTGACGGAAGAAAATGAAACTGCGTTTCATTTTCTTCCGTCGTCAGATTCTAAGAGTCTCCAGTCTGGGCATCCTCGACTTCAATGGTTCATGGCTCAACTCCCTTGCCATAGACAAACGAAGGGGGAGTCCAGGGGGGCCTGGCCCTCTAAGAACTTAAAATAGTAACATATGCCCCCCCCCCAAAAAAAAATAAAAATGTTCCAGATGTTTTGAATGCAACAATTCGCAAGTATTTTGTGCTGAAAGTAGAGAAAAAAAAACATTATTATTCCGCAGATATTGATGGAAAAATTCTTTATGGAAGCTTCAAAATGCGTCCGATTAGTCGTATAAATTCAAAAATTTCTCGAGGGATGCCCCTCGGGCCCCCCCTTCCGTGCTCGGGGCCCGGACCTTAAAACTGGTACCAGGGCCCGAGATGGGATGCGGCGAGCCTGCATGAAGGCTATTTCCATTTAAATCTTCCGTCACATTCATACGGCGCAATGATACAACTATTTGAACTCTCCGGAATGCGTGAGGCCGTGAGGTATCACGTCGCATTTGAAGGCGTTTTTAAAACAGCAAAGTTCCGATACCCAGATTATCGTTTTGCATAGTTCATATTCTTTTGTTATATTCCGTACCACTCGTTTATTTTCCATCCTCGTAGAGAAACCACCCATTTGTGAATACAATTCTAGCTGGAGCGCACTTCAGCTATGCATCCACCACTGCAAAAATGTCAAAGGAAACCGACACGCCCAGCGTGCATGGAGGCTATCTCCATTTAAATCTTCCGTCACATTCATACGGCACAATGATACAACTATTTGAACTCTCCGGAATGCGTGAGGTATCACGCCGCATTTGAATGCGTTTTCAAAACAGCCAAGTTCCGTTATCGGAATAATCGTTTTGCATAGTTCATATTATTTTGTTTCCATTTTTAACCACTTGTTTAATTATAATCCTCCTATAAAAACCACCCATTTGCTATGTACAATTCTAGCTGTAGTGCACTTCAGCTATGCATTCACCACTGCAAAAATGTCAAAGGAAATCGACAAGCCCAGCGTGCATGAAGGCAGGCCCGCCACAAGGGTGGGATACTGGGTCCCTGGTACCGGGGCCCGGGCCTCGGAGGGGGCCCGTGTTACCCGTGAAAAACAACTACAAATTCATATGCAACCCTTGTTTTGTAAGAAAAAGTGAAAAATTTAACTTAAAAATTTTGCAAAAGGTGAATAGATTTTCTGAAACACGCTGGGGCACTGTAGAATTCTTCTTAAATTTTCAAAGATGTGTACTTCCTGGAAAATTTCTATCTATTTTCAAGATTTTCAGTACAGAGGGATATTTTTATAGTAACTGCGTTTCATTTTCTTCCGTCGTCAGATTCTAGGAGTCTCCAGTCTGGGCATCCTCGACTTCAATGGCTCATGGCTCAACTCCCAACTCCCTTGCCATAGACAAACGAAGGAGGAGTCCAGGGGGGCCTGGCCCTCTAAGAACTGAAAATAGTAACATATGCCCCCCCCCCCAAAAAAAAAAAAAAAAAAAAAAAAAAAAAAAAAAAAAA